CCGCTGGAGCTGGAGCTGCTTGAGCCACTGGAGCTAGAGCTGCTGGAGGTGCTAGAGCCGCTGGTCCCGGACGTGCTCGTACTGGAGGTACTGGAGCTGTTGGAGCTGGAGGTGCTGCAGGAGTTGGAGTTGGAGCCGCTGGAGCTGGAGCTGCTGGAGGTGCTGGAGCCGCTGGTCCCGGAGGTGCTCGTACTGGAGGTACTGGAGCTGCTGGAGCTGGTGGTGCTGCAGGCGTTGGAGCTGGAGACCCTGGAGCTGGAGGTGCTGGCCCTGGGGGTGCTGGTGCTGTCGCTGCTGGCCCTGGAGCTGGAGGAAGTGTGCAGCAGCGACCGTACTTCGTTCCACTGCTTCAGCAGGTTCCTGGTCTCCCGCCTTCTACTGGCCTTACTCCTCCCTTACTGTGTCCACCGCCTGACAAGTCGCAGCCGCAGTTACAGCCAGCCTCCCCACTGTTTGCTCCTTCTCCTTTCATTGAGCAGACAGGAGGTCTTACAGAGCGTCGTGAGCCTGCGTCTCGTCCTGCGTCGCCTGTTCGCGCTGTTTGCACTGGTCGTCGTATTCCACGTCAGCTTCCTCCTCCTGTCCCTGGCACGCACCAGATGGCACTTCGTCCTTCCTCTGTTCCACAGCGTGTCCCTCTGCTGTCTCCTCCTGAGTCCTCTCTTCCTGACGTCCCTAACCCGCCGTCAGACCTTGCTCGTGCTGCCAGTCCTACTGTCACACGTCTTCTAGCCACAGTTGTCACTGACCCTTCGTTTGAGTCCACTGCTGCGTCTGCCCTAGTTGCTGAGCTTGTTGACTTTGCTGCCGCCTGTCGTCTCGACTACGCCACTAGTCTTGTTCCTGAGTCTGATTCTGACTGTCCTCCGTCCGTCGGGGGTGAGTGTGCTCTTGGCACGGACGTCCTTGAGGACAGGCAGGAGGACTTTGAGTGTTTTGCAGCTGCTGTACCTCATCTCGTGTCCATGGTAATTGCACCTGAGGGAGACCCAAATGCACCAGACATCCCGACCCCGCGCTCTTACGCAGAGGCAACTACGGGTCCCTACTCCTCTCAGTGGCACACAGCCATGGACGCAGAGATGGCATCCTGGAAGTCCATAGGCACTTACGTCGACGAGGTTCCCCCTCCTGGGGCGAACACAGTCGATGGCATGTGGATTTTCAGGGTGAAGCGGCCGCCGGGTTCTCTGCCTGCCTTCAAGGCTCGTTATGTTGCACGAGGCTTCAGTCAGCGACAAGGAGTTGACTTCTTCCATACCTTCTCCCCTACCCCGCAGATGACCACTCTTCGAGTACCGCTGCACGTTGCCGCTCAGCGTGACTACGAGCTTCACTCTCTTGACTCCAGCACAGCTTTCTTACAGGGCAGCCTGCACGAGGAGATCTGGCTGCGCTGCCCACCTGGCTTCACTGGGTCGTTTCCTGCAGTTACCCAGTGGAGCCTCCGGCGGCCAGTCTACGGTCTCCGCCAGGCGCCTCGCGAGTGGCACGACACATTGAGGACGACTCTTGCGGCTCTTGGGTTTGCTCCTTCGACTGCTGACCCGTCGCTGTTTCTACGCACCGACACTTCGCTGCCGCCGTTCTAAATCCTCGTGTACGTCGACGACTTGGTCTTTGCCACTGCTGACACTGAGGGACTGTCCCTCGTGAAGTCGGAGCTGCAGAAGAGACACACGTGCACAGACCTGGGTGAGCTACGCAGCTATCTTGGCTTGCAGATCACCCGGGACAGAGCACGGCGCACCATTACCTTGACTCAGTCACACATGGTGCAGCGGGTCCTTCAGCACTTCCACTTCCAGTACTCCTCGCCACAGTCCACTCCTCTGCCTACCGGTCACTTGCTCTCAGCTCCACCTTCGGACGAGTCCGTCGAGCCGAGTGGCCGGTATCCAGAGCTTGTGGGCTGCCTCATGTACCTGATGACCTGCACTCGGCCTGACCTTGCCTACCCTCTTAGCATCCTGGCACGCTACGTTGCGCCCGGGAGACACCTACCAAAGCACATGGAGGCCGCTAAGTGAGTGATGCGCTACTTGTGCAATACGTCGGGCATGGGGTTCGTGCTTGGAGGACGGGGTCCAGTTGTCCTCACTGGACACGCAGACGCTTCTTGGGTTGACGACTTGGCTACGCAGCGGTCGTCACAGGGTTACACTTTCAGCCTTGGCTCCGGCTCTGTTTTTTTGCGGTCTACCCGCTCGTCTTCTGTTCTGAGTTCCAGTTGTGAGGCTGAGATCTACGCTGGGGCCACCACTCCACAGGAGTTACGCTGGCTCATCTACCTGCTGACCGACTTGGGAGGGGCGCCTCGTTCTCCTCCAGTTCTGTACTTCGACAACAAGGCCATGATTGCCTTGTGACAGGAGCACAGACTGGAGCACAGGACGAAGCACATCGCTCTTCGTTACTTCCTTGCTCGTGAGTTGCAGCAGCGTGGTCAGCTTCGTCTTGTTTACGTGGCCTCTCGGGCCAACACTGCTGATATCTTCACCAAGGCACTTCAGCCTTGTGATCATCAGCGTTTCTGTACTGTTCTAGGCCTTGTGCCTACTTGGCCTCACTTGCTCACTTCTTGACTTTGCTTGTACTGTGATCTATATACTTATACCTGCATACTTACACTTGCTAGGTTTTGATCACTGTACTGAATGTTCTGCATTATATAACTCTGCATGGGAACTGGCCTTGTGTCCATTTGCTTGTGCTCAGAGTGTGTGGTGACTTCGTGATCCACCCTGAGCTTGCTTTGCTTTTCTTGATTGGTCTTGTGACCTCTTGTTCTCCCCCACTTTGCCTATGGGGGTGTGTCAAACTTATATGTTGCATGTTGTGTAGGCTGTAGTGGGGTAGCCCATATGGGGTACAACCCAATTAGGGTTTGCTACTTGTACTTCTGCATGCTGCTAGTTCATTCTTTCTCGTTCATTCTGCTGACAGGAATTTCGCACAGTCAGTCATAATTTCACGTCCAGCGGCAAGGCGTCGGCGGACAGACATTTTGTCCTCTGTAGCGGCGACCTGGCTTACGCAGACAGAAAGGAGGGAGGTTTGGGGGTGATCAACCCGACAGTGAGAATGGAGTGCATGGCGCTTACAGGCCTGGGTGATGCGGTACAGCAGAGAGACCAGATGAAGCGTTGGTTAATGGAGCGAGCGGCGGGTATGCCTTTCGGATGGGCGACGCTCTTGGCTCACCGGTCGGTCCTGCGCCTGTGGAACAAGGGAGGGGAAAAGTGGCGAAGGACGGTTATAAATTTCTGGCAGACGCTGCAGCCTAAACTCCCTGCACCAAAAAATCGCTGGGATTACGCATACGAACGGCTATGCTTCAGCATATATATTTTCTATCGGGGGAAAAGTCCCTTCGGGAGGCAGAAAGGCTCTGAGTGCCTACTGGAGATGAAGGTGGGGGATCTGATAAAGGCAGAGTGGTATGGCACACGGAGTATTAAGGATGTGTGGACTCTGACAAGAGAAATGGGCAGCTCAACAACAGCGCGTTGGGTGCTTGAAGCTTGGAAAGATGTACCGGACGGCTGGAAGAATGCCCTCTTGGCGAAGCTGTCTGCAGAGGAAGTTATGGACTTAACGAGCTTCGCCAGCACACGCTCCTTGACAGGGAGAATCATGTACTGGCAGTTGATTTCGGCGGATGGCAGTGGGATCTAGTGCAAGCCAGCAGAAGTAGGAAAAAAGGGGGAAGTGCTCCTGTTGAACAGAGCCAGTCAGCTGCGGGTAGAGATGCACAGACTGACGCCGCTGATGGTGGAAGATAACAAACTTACGGGAGAGGCTGGCCTCCCGCTCACACGGTTGAGAGAATCGGTGATGTGTGAAGAAGGGAAATGAGCTCCTCTACGGAAGCTGAGAGTTGTGTTGAAGGGACCGGTTGAGCAACCAAAGCAGCAGAAGCGGTGGGAGCAGGAATACGGGCAGCCCATAAACTCGGGGGAGATCATCCGGAAGCGAGACACCTTGGTCACCCCGGGCAGGGTGCGGGAGGTAATACTGAGGCTCCACAGCAAGAATCTGCAGGTGGGGGACAGGCTGAAGTTCATGAAAGAAAACATCAGCTGCCCGCACTGTGACGAGGAGGAAACGTCAGCACATTGTCTACTGGACCGTGACAACATCCAGCCTGTCATCGGCGCGGTTAAGGGAGCACTGTTGCAGATGAACCCAAAACGGAAGATGGGGAGACTGGAGGATTTCTTATTCAGGGAGGATGGCACGAAAACGGGCTTCCCGGAAAAACCGTTGATAGCTGTGGCTTTCCACCAGATCTGGCTGGAACGGTGTGAAGCAGTTTTTCGGCAAGGCAAATTCCAACCGAAGAGGGTGCTCAGGAAGATTGGGGTGAACTTCATGAAGCATGTCAGAATTTACAGTGCCCACAAAAAGCAGGAGGTGAGAAAAGACAGGCAAGGGGCGGTGCAAAGCTGGGGCCATCTGGCGCTAGTCGAGGCAGCAATGTTGAGCCGAATGTTCTGCGATGAAGACACGTTGGCATGGAAGGAAGGGTTCAGATCGGTGTGATCCAACTCGAGAACCACCTTCCAACCACCGTAGGTTGTCACGGAAGGGCAGTGTAGACCCCCTTGTCTTCCCGGTCACTTCCCCCCCTACAGTTACGACTGTGGATGTAACCACTTTATAGTGTATTGCATCCTTCAAAACAAAAATAATAAAATATATACCAATGTGAGTACCAATATCTACAACCGTTATGCATGCACTCTTTTATATTTCTCTCGTCCAATTGTCCGTATCGCGTACAAATTCCAATTCACCTATCTTGCTCATTTTCGTCGTCGCTTGAGGAATCGTCAACGCGGAACGTACATGTTCAGTCTTGTGCCAGGGGCATTTGCTCCTCAGCCTGTAGTACAAGCGAAATAGGGTGAACCACCGTCATGTGCCAGGGGCATTTGCGATAGGGTTGTCACCGAAGGGGGTGGTCGAAGCGAAACTAGGTTTGACGAGCATTTGTCATGGGGCAGGGCGCTTCGCGCCGTGATGGGCGGCAGCACGAAGCAGCACGCGGCGGCAGCCATGGCGGGATCCTAACGGGCTGCGACGTGCTGCGCGCCGAGTCGTTCGCGCGGCTGCGAGGGAGCAAGGTGGGTGGGGGATGGGGAAGGGTGGGTTTGTGCACTGTACGCGTTATAAGGCGCTATGTTGGTTCGCCCTTCCCCGTCTCGCCCTTCCACGTCAGCGCGTCAAGATCTCTCGCCTTCCTTCCCCTTCTCTTTCTGCTTTCTCTACTCCGATCCCCCTTCGCGTGAACCCTCCTCCTCCATCGTCCCACTCCGGGCCAGCAGGTCGGACTGATTGCTCCCCTCCCCCCTTACCTCCCCTCACCTCTCCTTCCCGCCCCTTCTCTCCCCTCCGCCTCACCGTCCCACTCGGGGCCTGCAGGTCGGACTGATTGCTCCTGTTCCCCCTTACCTCCCCTTCCCTCCCCTTCTCTCCGCCACCCCCTTCCCTCCCCATCACTTTTCTCCCCCATCCCCTTCCTTCAGTTCACCCTTCCTTCCCCATCTGGTCTGGCAGGTCGGACTGATTGCAATGCCACGTCTGTGCCTCGAGATCTCACCGCCTCCTTCCCTCTCCCCCCCACCTTCTCCCTCTCCCTTTTCCCTCCCCTTCCTTTACCCTCTCCCGCATCATCTGCTTCTTTCAGGCAGGTCGGGCTGATTGCCAATGCCACATCTGTGCCTCGAGATCTCACCGCTTCCCTCCCCCATGCGCTGCCTTCACCCATCCCTTCCTTCCTCTGTCTCCCCCCCCCCCCCGCTTCACCGTCTCAACTCAACAGGTCTGGCAGGTCGGACTGATTGCAATGCCACGTCTGTGCCTCGAGATCTCACCGCCTCCTTCCCTCCCCCCCCACCTTCTCCCTGTCCCTCTTCGCTCCCCTTCCTTTACCCTCCCCCTCATCATCTGTGCCAGCAGGTCGGGCGGATCGCCAATGCCACGTCTGTGCCTCGAGATCTCACCCACCCACATTGCTGAAACGATGCTGTAACAGAGCTGTAACATTTCTCTCCCTCCCTTCCTCTGTCCCCCTTTCCCCTCTTCCTTTCCAGGTCGGGCTGATTGCCAATGCCACGTCTGTGCTTCGAGATCTCACCCACTTGGTGAGTCTCACACACTGTTGAAACGATGCTGAAACGATGCTGAAACGATGCTGAAACGATGCTGAAACGATGCTGAAACTCTTCTTTCACTCAACTCTCCTATTCCTTGATTTGTTTTTTCTCTCGACATTCACTCACACCCATAATTTCATTTCTCTGCCCCTTCCTGTTCTCCCCAAGCCGCATCCCCTCTTCGACTGTTCTCCCCTCTTCCCCCCTTCATCCCGCACAGGCAGATGGCAATGCATGATCTTCCAGCAGTACCCTCCTCTCCTACCTCTCACCTCTCACCTCGTCTCCTACCTCTCACCTCCTCTCCTACCTCTCACCTCCTCTCCTACCTCTCACCTCCTCTCCTACCTCTCACCTCCTCTCCTACCTCTCACCTCCTCTCCTACCTCTCACCTCCTCTCCTACCTCTCACCTCCTCTCCTACCTCTCACCTCCTCTCCTACCTCTCACCTCCTCTCCTACCTCTCACCTCCTCTCCTACCTCTCACCTCCTCTCCTACCTCTCACCTCCTCTCCTACCTCTCACCTCCTCTCCTACCTCTCACCTCCTCTCCTACCTCTCACCTCCTCTCCTACCTCTCACCTCCTCTCCTACCTCTCACCTCCTCTCCTACCTCTCACCTCCTCGTTTTCCCTCCTCGTTTGTCATACTTCGACTGGTCTCCTCTCTTACCCCACCCATCCCGCACAGGCAGATGGCATGGCAATGCATGGTTGTACTGTACCGTGTACCGTCTCCTTTCTTCCCATTCACAGATGTACCGCCCTTTCCACGCAACAAGGTGCCTCCCTTTCCACTTCCGAGCCACCTTGCTGCACTGCGCTATTCAAACCAAACTCCATCCCGCGTTTCCTTCCGTTTCTCCCTCCTCTTCCCATCTCGCACACAGGCAGATACCATGCACAGTTGCACGGCTGCACACTCCCCTTCTCCCTTTTCAACTCCTAGGCGTTTTATGCGTTGTGCCAGCCAAACGCCATTTCCGCTTTCCGTTTCTCCCCCCCTTTTCTTCCCCATTCCGCACACAGGGCAGGCAGATGCCATGCATACATGGTTGCACGTCTGCACACTCACAACCGCCCTTTCCCCTCTCAGCTGGTTCCACAGCTGTGCACTCCCTAGGCGAAATTCATCCCTTGTCTCATCACTTCCACTCTCCCTTCCTCCTCCCTCCATCCCACAATTACACAGGTAAACGCCATGCATGGTTCCACAGCTGCGCGCCCCCAACCTCCCTTCCCACCTCCTAGCCAGCTCCCCTGTTTCTCCCACCTCTTTTCCCTCACCCTTCCTCCCTCCATCCCGCACCCACACAGGCAGACGCCATGCATGGTTTCACGGCTGCACGCCCGCAACCTCCCTTTCAAGTCCTTGGCTGATTTCTTCCCTTGCCCCATCACTTTGACTCTCCCTTGCTCCTCCCTCCATACAGCACCCACACAGGCAGATGCCATGCATGGTTTCACAGCTGCGCGCCCCCAACCTCCCTTCCCACCTCCTAGCCAGCTCCCCTGTTTCTCCCACCTCTTTTGCCTCACCCTTCCTCCCTCCATCCCGCCCTCCCCCAGGCAGATGCCATGCTTGGTCTCACGGCTGTGCACTCCCAAGCTCCCTTCCACCTGGTGGCCATGTTTGGCCCTGAGCACGGGTTCAGAGGCACAGCGCAGGTGAGGTGAGGTCGGTCAAGAGCATAGAAAGCTAGCTCTCGGCGCAGGTGAGGCACTTATAGGCAAGGCAGGCGCGCTGCGCACGAGTTGTCATTCCTTGCACGTGGTGAGAGGGGTGCAGCTTCTCACTCACAGCCTCCCTTCCATCTGATGCCCATGTTTGGGCCCGAGCACGGATTCAGAGGCACAGCGCAGGTGAGGCACTTGCTGCTGCTACCTTGGTGGAAAGTACTTGTGCACTCTCCTTCTTGCTGCACCACCCCCACCCCCAACCGCCCTTCCACCTGGTGGCCATGTTTGGCCCCAAGCACGGATTCAGAGGCACGGCGCAGGTGAGACACTTGCTGCTACCTTGGTGGAAAGTACTTGTGCACTCTCCTTCTTGCTGCACCACCCCCACCCCCAACCGCCCTTCCACCTGGTGGCCATGTTTGGCCCGAGCACGGATTCAGAGGCACGGCGAAGGTGAGGCACTTGCTGCTACATTGGTGGAAAGTACTTGTGCACTCTCCTTCTTGCTGCACCACCCCCACCCCCAACCTCCCCTCCACCTGGTGGCCATGTTTGGCCCGAGCACGGATTCAGAGGCACGGCGAAGGTGAGGCACTTGCTGCTACCTTGGTGGAAAGTACTTGTGCACTCTCCTTCTTGCTGCACCACCCCCACCCCCAACCTCCCCTCCACCTGGTGGCCATGTTTGGCCCGAGCACGGATTCAGAGGCACGGCGAAGGTGAGACACTTGCTGCTGCTACCTTGGTGGAAAGTACTTGTGCACTCTCCTTCTTGCTGCACCACCCCCACCCCCAACCTCCCCTCCACCTGGTGGCCATGTTTGGCCCGAGCACGGATTCAGAGGCACGGCGAAGGTGAGACACTTGCTGCTGCTACCTTGGTGGAAAGTACTTGTGCACTCTCCTTCTTGCTGCACCACCCCCACCCCCAACCGCCCTTCCACCTGGCCCCAAGCACGGGTTCAGAGGCACGGCGCAGGTGAGTCACTTGCAAGGCAGGTGGTGTGTGTGTGTGTGTGTGTGGGCACGAGCTGTCGTTCCTTGCACGTGGTTAGAGGGGTGCTCAGCAGCAGCTTCTCACCCCCAACCTCCCTTCCACCTGGTGCCCATGTTTGGCCCCGAGCACGGGTCCCGATGCACGGTGCAGGTGAGTCACTTACCTCTACCCAGGTGGTGCGTGTGTGGGCACTGGTCTGTCCCTTTTAACCCTGGTAGAACTTAGAGGGGTGAAATGCTGCTGTGCGCTCCCCACCTCCCTTCCACCTGCTGCCCATGTTTGGGCCCGAGCACGGGTCCCGAGGCACGGCGCAGGTGAGAGAGTTGCATTGCAAGACAGGTGGTGCGTGGGTGGGCACGTCGTTAGAGGGGTGCTCAGCAGCAGCTGCGCACCACCCAACCTCCCTTTCACCTCATGGCCGAGTTGGAGCCACAGAGAGAGCATGGGTTCAGATCAGATGAGAGGCACAGCGCAGGTGAGAGAGTTGCATTGCAAGGTAGGAGGTGCGTGGGTGGGCACGTTGTTAGAGGGGTGCCCAGCAGCAGCTGCGCACCCCCCCAACCTCCCTTTTCACCTCATGGCCGAGTTGGGGCCCGAGACGAGAGAGCATGGGTTCAGATCAGAGGCACGGCGCAGGTGAGACAGTTGGTTGCTACCCAGGTGCGCAGGGATTGCATGTTGACTGGTTAGTTGTTGCCTTAGGAGGGGTGGAGAGCACCTGTGCGCCCCAAACTTCCCTTTCACCTCGTGGCCATGTTGGGGCCCGAGACGAGAGAGCATGGGTTCAGATCAGAGGCACGGCGCAGGTGAGACAGTTGCTTGCTACCCAGGTGCGCAGGGATTGCATGTTGACTGGTTAGTTGTTGCCTTAGGAGGGGTGGAGAGCACCTGTGCGCCCCAAACTTCCCTTTCACCTCGTGGCCATGTTGGGGCCCGAGACGAGAGAGCATGGGTTCAGATCAGAGGCACGGCGCAGGTGAGACAGTTGCTTGCTACCCAGGTGCGCAGGGATTGCATGTTGACTGGTTAGTTGTTGCCTTAGGAGGGGTGGAGAGCACCTGTGCGCCCCAAACTTCCCTTTCACCTCGTGGCCATGTTGGGGCCCGAGACGAGAGAGCATGGGTTCAGATCAGAGGCACGGCGCAGGTGAGAGAGTTGCTTGCTACCCAGGTGCGCAGGGATTGCATGTTGACTGGTTAGTTGTTGCCTTAGGAGGGGTGGAGAGCACCTGTGCGCCCCAAACTTCCCTTTCACCTCGTGGCCATGTTGGGGCCCGAGACGAGAGAGCATGGGTTCAGATCAGAGGCACGGCGCAGGTGAGACAGTTGCTTGCTACCCAGGTGCGCAGGGATTGCATGTTGACTGGTTAGTTGTTGCCTTAGGAGGGGTGGAGAGCACCTGTGCGCCCCAAACTTCCCTTTCACCTCGTGGCCATGTTGGGGCCCGAGACGAGAGAGCATGGGTTCAGATCAGAGGCACGGCGCAGGTGAGACAGTTGCTTGCTACCCAGGTGCGCAGGGATTGCATGTTGACTGGTTAGTTGTTGCCTTAGGAGGGGTGGAGAGCACCTGTGCGCCCCAAACTTCTCTTTCACCTCGTGGCCATGTTGGGGCCCGAGACGAGAGAGCATGGGTTCAGATCAGAGGCACGGCGCAGGTGAGACAGTTGCTTGCTACCCAGGTGCGCAGGGATTGCATGTTGACTGGTTAGTTGTTGCCTTAGGAGGGGTGGAGAGCACCTGTGCGCCCCAAACTTCCCTTTCACCTCGTGGCCATGTTGGGGCCCGAGACGAGAGAGCATGGGTTCAGATCAGAGGCACGGCGCAGGTGAGAGAGTTGCTTGCTACCCAGGTGCGCAGGGATTGCATGTTGACTGGTTAGTTGTTGCCTTAGGAGGGGTGGAGAGCACCTGTGCGCCCCAAACTTCCCTTTCACCTCGTGGCCATGTTGGGGCCCGAGACGAGAGAGCATGGGTTCAGATCAGAGGCACGGCGCAGGTGAGACAGTTGCTTGCTACCCAGGTGCGCAGGGATTGCATGTTGACTGGTTAGTTGTTGCCTTAGGAGGGGTGGAGAGCACCTGTGCGCCCCAAACTTCCCTTTCACCTCGTGGCCATGTTGGGGCCTGAGACGAGAGAGCATGGGTTCAGATCAGAGGCACGGCGCAGGTGAGACAGTTGCTTGCTACCCAGGTGCGCAGGGATTGCATGTTGACTGGTTAGTTGTTGCCTTAGGAGGGGTGGAGAGCACCTGTGCGCCCCAAACTTCCCTTTCACCTCGTGGCCATGTTGGGGCCCGAGACGAGAGAGCATGGGTTCAGATCAGAGGCACGGCGCAGGTGAGAGAGTTGCTTGCTACCCAGGTGCGCAGGGATTGCATGTTGACTGGTTAGTTGTTGCCTTAGGAGGGGTGGAGAGCACCTGTGCGCCCCAAACTTCCCTTTCACCTCGTGGCCATGTTGGGGCCCGAGACGAGAGAGCATGGGTTCAGATCAGAGGCACGGCGCAGGTGAGACAGTTGCTTGCTACCCAGGTGCGCAGGGATTGCATGTTGACTGGTTAGTTGTTGCCTTAGGAGGGGTGGAGAGCACCTGTGCGCCCCAAACTTCCCTTTCACCTCGTGGCCATGTTGGGGCCCGAGACGAGAGAGCATGGGTTCAGATCAGAGGCACGGCGCAGGTGAGAGAGTTGCTTGCTACCCAGGTGCGCAGGGATTGCATGTTGACTGGTTAGTTGTTGCCTTAGGAGGGGTGGAGAGCACCTGTGCGCCCCAAACTTCCCTTTCACCTCGTGGCCATGTTGGGGCCCGAGACGAGAGAGCATGGGTTCAGATCAGAGGCACGGCGCAGGTGAGACAGTTGCTTGCTACCCAGGTGCGCAGGGATTGCATGTTGACTGGTTAGTTGTTGCCTTCGGAGGGGTGGAGAGCACCTGTGCGCCCCAAACTTCCCTTTCACCTCGTGGCCATGTTGGGGCCCGAGATGAGAGAGCATGGGTTCAGATCAGAGGCACGGCGCAGGTGAGAGAGTTGCTTGCTACCCAGGTGCGCAGGGATTGCATGTTGACTGGTTAGTTGTTGCCTTAGGAGGGGTGGAGAGCACCTGTGCGCCCCAAACTTCCCTTTCACCTCGCGGCCATGTTGGGGCCCGAGACGAGAGAGCATGGGTTCAGATCAGAGGCACGGCGCAGGTGAGACAGTTGCTTGCTACCCAGGTGCGCAGGGATTGCATGTTGACTGGTTAGTTGTTGCCTTAGGAGGGGTGGAGAGCACCTGTGCGCCCCAAACTTCCCTTTCACCTCGTGGCCATGTTGGGGCCCGAGACGAGAGAGCATGGGTTCAGATCAGAGGCACGGCGCAGGTGAGACAGTTGCTTGCTACCCAGGTGCGCAGGGATTGCATGTTGACTGGTTAGTTGTTGCCTTAGGAGGGGTGGAGAGCACCTGTGCGCCCCAAACTTCCCTTTCACCTCGTGGCCATGTTGGGGCCCGAGACGAGAGAGCATGGGTTCAGATCAACGGCACGGCGCAGGTGAGACAGTTGCTTGCTACCCAGGTGCGCAGGGATTGCATGTTGACTGGTTAGTTGTTGCCTTAGGAGGGGTGGAGAGCACCTGTGCGCCCCAAACTTCCCTTTCACCTCGTGGCCATGTTGGGGCCCGAGACGAGAGAGCATGGGTTCAGATCAGAGGCACGGCGCAGGTGAGACAGTTGCTTGCTACCCAGGTGCGCAGGGATTGCATGTTGACTGGTTAGTTGTTGCCTTCGGAGGGGTGGAGAGCACCTGTGCGCCCCAAACTTCCCTTTCACCTCGTGGCCATGTTGGGGCCCGAGACGAGAGAGCATGGGTTCAGATCAGAGGCACGGCGCAGGTGAGAGAGTTGCTTGCTACCCAGGTGCGCAGGGATTGCATGTTGACTGGTTAGTTGTTGCCTTAGGAGGGGTGGAGAGCACCTGTGCGCCCCAAACTCCCCTTTCACCTCGTGGCCATGTTGGGGCCCGAGACGAGAGAGCATGGGTTCAGATCAGAGGCACGGCGCAGGTGAGAGAGTTGCTTGCTACCCAGGTGCGCAGGGATTGCATGTTGACTGGTTAGTTGTTGCCTTAGGAGGGGTGGAGAGCACCTGTGCGCCCCAAACTTCCCTTTCACCTCGTGGCCATGTTGGGGCCCGAGACGAGAGAGCATGGGTTCAGATCAGAGGCACGGCGCAGGTGAGACAGTTGCTTGCTACCCAGGTGCGCAGGGGTTGCATGTTGACTGGTTAGTTGTTGCCTTAGGAGGCGTGGAGAGCACCTGTGCGCCCCAAACTTCCCTTTCACCTCGTGGCCATGTTGGGGCCCGAGACGAGAGAGCATGGGTTCAGATCAGAGGCACGGCGCAGGTGAGACAGTTGCTTGCTACCCAGGTGCGCAGGGATTGCATGTTGACTGGTTAGTTGTTGCCTTAGGAGGGGTGGAGAGCACCTGTGCGCCCCAAACTTCTCTTTCACCTCGTGGCCATGTTGGGGCCCGAGACGAGAGAGCATGGGTTCAGATCAGAGGCACGGCGCAGGTGAGACAGTTGCTTGCTACCCAGGTGCGCAGGGATTGCATGTTGACTGGTTAGTTGTTGCCTTAGGAGGGGTGGAGAGCACCTGTGCGCCCCAAACTTCCCTTTCACCTCGTGGCCATGTTGGGGCCCGAGACGAGAGAGCATGGGTTCAGATCAGAGGCACGGCGCAGGTGAGAGAGTTGCTTGCTACCCAGGTGCGCAGGGATTGCATGTTGACTGGTTAGTTGTTGCCTTAGGAGGGGTGGAGAGCACCTGTGCGCCCCAAACTTCCCTTTCACCTCGTGGCCATGTTGGGGCCCGAGACGAGAGAGCATGGGTTCAGATCAGAGGCACGGCGCAGGTGAGACAGTTGCTTGCTACCCAGGTGCGCAGGGATTGCATGTTGACTGGTTAGTTGTTGCCTTAGGAGGGGTGGAGAGCACCTGTGCGCCCCAAACTTCCCTTTCACCTCGTGGCCATGTTGGGGCCCGAGACGAGAGAGCATGGGTTCAGATCAGAGGCACGGCGCAGGTGAGACAGTTGCTTGCTACCCAGGTGCGCAGGGATTGCATGTTGACTGGTTAGTTGTTGCCTTAGGAGGGGTGGAGAGCACCTGTGCGCCCCAAACTTATCTTTGACCTCGTGGCCATGTTGGGGCCCGAGACGAGAGAGCATGGGTTCAGATCAGAGGCACGGCGCAGGTGAGACAGTTGCTTGCTACCCAGGTGCGCAGGGATTGCATGTTGACTGGTTAGTTGTTGCCTTAGGAGGGGTGGAGAGCACCTGTGCGCCCCAAACTTCCCTTTCACCTCGTGGCCATGTTGGGGCCCGAGACGAGAGAGCATGGGTTCAGATCAGAGGCACGGCGCAGGTGAGAGAGTTGCTTGCTACCCAGGTGCGCAGGGATTGCATGTTGACTGGTTAGTTGTTGCCTTAGGAGGGGTGGAGAGCACCTGTGCGCCCCAAACTTCCCTTTCACCTCGTGGCCATGTTGGGGCCCGAGACGAGAGAGCATGGGTTCAGATCAGAGGCACGGCGCAGGTGAGACAGTTGCTTGCTACCCAGGTGCGCAGGGATTGCATGTTGACTGGTTAGTTGTTGCCTTAGGAGGGGTGGAGAGCACCTGTGCGCCCCAAACTTCCCTTTCACCTCGTGGCCATGTTGGGGCCCGAGACGAGAGAGCATGGGTTCAGATCAGAGGCACGGCGCAGGTGAGACAGTTGCTTGCTACCCAGGTGCGCAGGGATTGCATGTTGACTGGTTAGTTGTTGCCTTAGGAGGGGTGGAGAGCACCTGTGCGCCCCAAACTTCTCTTTCACCTCGTGGCCATGTTGGGGCCCGAGACGAGAGAGCATGGGTTCAGATCAGAGGCACGGCGCAGGTGAGACAGTTGCTTGCTACCCAGGTGCGCAGGGATTGCATGTTGACTGGTTAGTTGTTGCCTTAGGAGGGGTGGAGAGCACCTGTGCGCCCCAAACTTCCCTTTCACCTCGTGGCCATGTTGGGGCCCGAGACGAGAGAGCATGGGTTCAGATCAGAGGCACGGCGCAGGTGAGAGAGTTGCTTGCTACCCAGGTGCGCAGGGATTGCATGTTGACTGGTTAGTTGTTGCCTTAGGAGGGGTGGAGAGCACCTGTGCGCCCCAAACTTCCCTTTCACCTCGTGGCCATGTTGGGGCCCGAGACGAGAGAGCATGGGTTCAGATCAGAGGCACGGCGCAGGTGAGACAGTTGCTTGCTACCCAGGTGCGCAGGGATTGCATGTTGACTGGTTAGTTGTTGCCTTAGGAGGGGTGGAGAGCACCTGTGCGCCCCAAACTTCCCTTTCACCTCGTGGCCATGTTGGGGCCTGAGACGAGAGAGCATGGGTTCAGATCAGAGGCACGGCGCAGGTGAGACAGTTGCTTGCTACCCAGGTGCGCAAGGATTGCATGTTGACTGGTTAGTTGTTGCCTTAGGAGGGGTGGAGAGCACCTGTGCGCCCCAAACTTCCCTTTCACCTCGTGGCCATGTTGGGGCCCGAGACGAGAGAGCATGGGTTCAGATCAGAGGCACGGCGCAGGTGAGACAGTTGCTTGCTACCCAGGTGCGCAGGGATTGCATGTTGACTGGTTAGTTGTTGCCTTAGGAGGGGTGGAGAGCACCTGTGCGCCCCAAACTTCCCTTTCACCTCGTGGCCATGTTGGGGCCCGAGACGAGAGAGCATGGGTTCAGATCAGAGGCACGGCGCAGGTGAGACAGTTGCTTGCTACCCAGGTGCGCAGGGATTGCATGTTGACTGGTTAGTTGTTGCCTTAGGAGGGGTGGAGAGCACCTGTGCGCCCCAAACTTCCCTTTCACCTCGTGGCCATGTTGGGGCCCGAGACGAGAGAGCATGGGTTCAGATCAGAGGCACGGCGCAGGTGAGACAGTTGCTTGCTACCCAGGTGCGCAGGGATTGCATGTTGACTGGTTAGTTGTTGCCTTAGGAGGGGTGGAGAGCACCTGTGCGCCCCAAACTTCCCTTTCACCTCGTGGCCATGTTGGGGCCCGAGACGAGAGAGCATGGGTTCAGATCAGAGGCACGGCGCAGGTGAGACAGTTGCTTGCTACCCAGGTGCGCAGGGATTGCATGTTGACTGGTTAGTTGTTGCCTTAGGAGGGGTGGAGAGCACCTGTGCGCCCCAAACTTCCCTTTCACCTCGTGGCCATGTTGGGGCCCGAGACGAGAGAGCATGGGTTCAGATCAGAGGCACGGCGCAGGTGAGACAGTTGCTTGCTACCCAGGTGCGCAGGGATTGCATGTTGACTGGTTAGTTGTTGCCTTAGGAGGGGTGGAGAGCACCTGTGCGCCCCAAACTTCCCTTTCACCTCGTGGCCATGTTGGGGCCCGAGACGAGAGAGCATGGGTTCAGATCAGAGGCACAGCGCAGGTGAGACAGTTGCTTGCTACCCAGGTGCGCAGGGATTGCATGTTGACTGGTTAGTTGTTGCCTTAGGAGGGGTGGAGAGCACCTGTGCGCCCCAAACTTCCCTTTCACCTCGTGGCCATGTTGGGGCCCGAGACGAGAGAGCATGGGTTCAGATCAGAGGCACAGCGCAGGTGAGACAGTTGCTTGCTACCCAGGTGCGCAGGGATTGCATGTTGACTGGTTAGTTGTTGCCTTAGGAGGGGTGGAGAGCACCTGTGCGCTCGTGTCTACACCTTCGTGTCTACACCTTCATCTGGACGCTCTACGGCTGCCAGGCTCGTGTCTACACCTCGTGTCTACACCTTCATCTGGACGCTCTACGGCTGCCTGTTTTGAGACGTCTCAAAATCCGCCAGGCTCGTGTCTACACCTTCATCTGGACGCTCTACGGCTGCCTGTTTTGAGACGTCTCAAAATCCGCCAGGCTCGTGTCTACACCTTCATCTGGACGCTCTACGGCTGCCTGTTTTGAGACGTCTCAAAATCCGCCAGGCTCGTGTCTACACCTTCATCTGGACGCTCTACGGCTGCCTGTTTTGAGACGTCTCAAAATCCGCCAGGCTCGTGTCTACACCTTCATCTGGACGCTCTACGGCTGCCTGTTTTGAGACGTCTCAAAATCCGCCAGGCTCGTGTCTACACCTTCATCTGGACGCTCTACGGCTGCCTGTTTTGAGACGTCTCAAAATCCGCCAGGCTCGTGTCTACACCTTCATCTGGACGCTCTACGGCTGCCTGTTTTGAGACGTCTCAAAATCCGCCAGGCTCGTGTCTACACCTTCATCTGGACGCTCTACGGCTGCCTGTTTTGAGACGTCTCAAAATCCGCCAGGCTCGTGTCTACACCTTCATCTGGACGCTCTACGGCTGCCTGTTTTGAGACGTCTCAAAATCCGCCAGGCTCGTGTCTACACCTTCATCTGGACGCTCTACGGCTGCCTGTTTTGAGACGTCTCAAAATCCGCCAGGCTCGTGTCTACACCTTCATCTGGACGCTCTACGGCTGCCTGTTTTGAGACGTCTCAAAATCCGCCAGGCTCGTGTCTACACCTTCATCTGGACGCTCTACGGCTGCCTGTTTTGAGACGTCTCAAAATCCGCCAGGCTCGTGTCTACACCTTCATCTGGACGCTCTACGGCTGCCTGTTTTGAGACGTCTCAAAATCCGCCAGGCTCGTGTCTACACCTTCATCTGGACGCTCTACGGCTGCCTGTTTTGAGACGTCTCAAAATCCGCCAGGCTCGTGTCTACACCTTCATCTGGACGCTCTACGGCTGCCTGTTTTGAGACGTCTCAAAATCCGCCAGGCTCGTGTCTACACCTTCATCTGGACGCTCTACGGCTGCCTGTTTTGAGACGTCTCAAAATCCGCCAGGCTCGTGTCTACACCTTCATCTGGACGCTCTACGGCTGCCTGTTTTGAGACGTCTCAAAATCCGCCAGGCTCGTGTCTACACCTTCATCTGGACGCTCTACGGCTGCCTGTTTTGAGACGTCTCAAAATCCGCCAGGCTCGTGTCTACACCTTCATCTGGACGCTCTACGGCTGCCTGTTTTGAGACGTCTCAAAATCCGCCAGGCTCGTGTCTACACCTTCATCTGGACGCTCTACGGCTGCCTGTTTTGAGACGTCTCAAAATCCGCCAGGCTCGTGTCTACACCTTCATCTGGACGCTCTACGGCTGCCTGTTTTGAGACGTCTCAAAATCCGCCAGGCTCGTGTCTACACCTTCATCTGGACGCTCTACGGCTGCCTGTTTTGAGACGTCTCAAAATCCGCCAGGCTCGTGTCTACACCTTCATCTGGACGCTCTACGGCTGCCTGTTTTGAGACGTCTCAAAATCCGCCAGGCTCGTGTCTACACCTTCATCTGGACGCTCTACGGCTGCCTGTTTTGAGACGTCTCAAAATCCGCCAGGCTCGTGTCTACACCTTCATCTGGACGCTCTACGGCTGCCTGTTTTGAGACGTCTCAAAATCCGCCAGGCTCGTGTCTACACCTTCATCTGGACGCTCTACGGCTGCCTGTTTTGAGACGTCTCAAAATCCGCCAGGCTCGTGTCTACACCTTCATCTGGACGCTCTACGGCTGCCTGTTTTGAGACGTCTCAAAATCCGCCAGGCTCGTGTCTACACCTTCATCTGGACGCTCTACGGCTGCCTGTTTTGAGACGTCTCAAAATCCGCCAGGCTCGTGTCTACACCTTCATCTGGACGCTCTACGGCTGCCTGTTTTGAGACGTCTCAAAATCCGCCAGGCTCGTGTCTACACCTTCATCTGGACGCTCTACGGCTGCCTGTTTTGAGACGTCTCAAAATCCGCCAGGCTCGTGTCTACACCTTCATCTGGACGCTCTACGGCTGCCTGTTTTGAGACGTCTCAAAATCCGCCAGGCTCGTGTCTACACCTTCATCTGGACGCTCTACGGCTGCCTGTTTTGAGACGTCTCAAAATCCGCCAGGCTCGTGTCTACACCTTCATCTGGACGCTCTACGGCTGCCTGTTTTGAGACGTCTCAAAATCCGCCAGGCTCGTGTCTACACCTTCATCTGGACGCTCTACGGCTGCCTGTTTTGAGACGTCTCAAAATCCGCCAGGCTCGTGTCTACACCTTCATCTGGACGCTCTACGGCTGCCTGTTTTGAGACGTCTCAAAATCCGCCAGGCTCGTGTCTACACCTTCATCTGGACGCTCTACGGCTGCCTGTTTTGAGACGTCTCAAAATCCGCCAGGCTCGTGTCTACACCTTCATCTGGACGCTCTACGGCTGCCTGTTTTGAGACGTCTCAAAATCCGCCAGGCTCGTGTCTACACCTTCATCTGGACGCTCTACGGCTGCCTGTTTTGAGACGTCTCAAAATCCGCCAGGCTCGTGTCTACACCTTCATCTGGACGCTCTACGGCTGCCTGTTTTGAGACGTCTCAAAATCCGCCAGGCTCGTGTCTACACCTTCATCTGGACGCTCTACGGCTGCCTGTTTTGAGACGTCTCAAAATCCGCCAGGCTCGTGTCTACACCTTCATCTGGACGCTCTACGGCTGCCTGTTTTGAGACGTCTCAAAATCCGCCAGGCTCGTGTCTACACCTTCATCTGGACGCTCTACGGCTGCCTGTTTTGAGACGTCTCAAAATCCGCCAGGCTCGTGTCTACACCTTCATCTGGACGCTCTACGGCTGCCTGTTTTGAGACGTCTCAAAATCCGCCAGGCTCGTGTCTACACCTTCATCTGGACGCTCTACGGCTGCCTGTTTTGAGACGTCTCAAAATCCGCCAGGCTCGTGTCTACACCTTCATCTGGACGCTCTACGGCTGCCTGTTTTGAGACGTCTCAAAATCCGCCAGGCTCGTGTCTACACCTTCATCTGGACGCTCTACGGCTGCCTGTTTTGAGACGTCTCAAAATCCGCCAGGCTCGTGTCTACACCTTCATCTGGACGCTCTACGGCTGCCTGTTTTGAGACGTCTCAAAATCCGCCAGGCTCGTGTCTACACCTTCATCTGGACGCTCTACGGCTGCCTGTTTTGAGACGTCTCAAAATCCGCCAGGCTCGTGTCTACACCTTCATCTGGACGCTCTACGGCTGCCTGTTTTGAGACGTCTCAAAATCCGCCAGGCTCGTGTCTACACCTTCATCTGGACGCTCTACGGCTGCCTGTTTTGAGACGTCTCAAAATCCGCCAGGCTCGTGTCTACACCTTCATCTGGACGCTCTACGGCTGCCTGTTTTGAGACGTCTCAAAATCCGCCAGGCTCGTGTCTACACCTTCATCTGGACGCTCTACGGCTGCCTGTTTTGAGACGTCTCAAAATCCGCCAGGCTCGTGTCTACACCTTCATCTGGACGCTCTACGGCTGCCTGTTTTGAGACGTCTCAAAATCCGCCAGGCTCGTGTCTACACCTTCATCTGGACGCTCTACGGCTGCCTGTTTTGAGACGTCTCAAAATCCGCCAGGCTCGTGTCTACACCTTCATCTGGACGCTCTACGGCTGCCTGTTTTGAGACGTCTCAAAATCCGCCAGGCTCGTGTCTACACCTTCATCTGGACGCTCTACGGCTGCCTGTTTTGAGACGTCTCAAAATCCGCCAGGCTCGTGTCTACACCTTCATCTGGACGCTCTACGGCTGCCTGTTTTGAGACGTCTCAAAATCCGCCAGGCTCGTGTCTACACCTTCATCTGGACGCTCTACGGCTGCCTGTTTTGAGACGTCTCAAAATCCGCCAGGCTCGTGTCTACACCTTCATCTGGACGCTCTACGGCTGCCTGTTTTGAGACGTCTCAAAATCCGCCAGGCTCGTGTCTACACCTTCATCTGGACGCTCTACGGCTGCCTGTTTTGAGACGTCTCAAAATCCGCCAGGCTCGTGTCTACACCTTCATCTGGACGCTCTACGGCTGCCTGTTTTGAGACGTCTCAAAATCCGCCAGGCTCGTGTCTACACCTTCATCTGGACGCTCTACGGCTGCCTGTTTTGAGACGTCTCAAAATCCGCCAGGCTCGTGTCTACACCTTCATCTGGACGCTCTACGGCTGCCTGTTTTGAGACGTCTCAAAATCCGCCAGGCTCGTGTCTACACCTTCATCTGGACGCTCTACGGCTGCCTGTTTTGAGACGTCTCAAAATCCGCCAGGCTCGTGTCTACACCTTCATCTGGACGCTCTACGGCTGCCTGTTTTGAGACGTCTCAAAATCCGCCAGGCTCGTGTCTACACCTTCATCTGGACGCTCTACGGCTGCCTGTTTTGAGACGTCTCAAAATCCGCCAGGCTCGTGTCTACACCTTCATCTGGACGCTCTACGGCTGCCTGTTTTGAGACGTCTCAAAATCCGCCAGG